TTCCTACAACTAAGACTCCAAAACGACAACACCAGAAGAAAATATTCCACTGTGTCCAGAATTTCATCCCTGGGACACGACATGTTATACATTTTAAACGTACAACAATTATATCATTGATTATATAAATTCAATTTTTTTGATAATACCTTTGACGACTTCGATATTCTATTATATCTAATGGTTGCTGTTGCGTAAAAGACCTTTTTGGTCAGAATTTTTATCAAGTGCAGAGTAGATGTCTTACTTTTATGGTTATATAATATAATTCTACATTTTTTTTGTCATATAATTTTATTAATAATCTGTTCATCAACGTGAACATTGAGTAAATTTAAGATCACGGTTGACATTAAATGGATAATCTTTCCGGTGGATAGTTACCATTATTATGATATAATTTTTAATTTATTGTTTGGCTGTCGTCTTGTAGGGTAACTTAAATAGTATATTGGTGCTTTGCGATTCCACTTTTTCCTTTGACTGTGAATCTGCTGATATCCTTAACACTTCCATTTTCCATCGACTTGGCTGAAAGTCCGTATGCTGAACTTCTTTGGATGAAGCTTGAAGATTATATTGAAATATAAAATAAATTATATTGCATAAACAGAAACTATTCCCATTAATAAATAATATATAATTATAGTTTTATCTAACACTTGTTATTAGTAACTAAATGTATTTATAAATAAAAATAATTGTCTTTAATTTAAAATTGTAATAAATCACATTTTATATTTGTAGGGAAATTGTGCAGCGCAATTATAAATAAAAATATTAATGATTTTTTACAAAATTCCATATCATTTCGATAATTATTCTAATTTGAATGTTCGGAATATAAAACGGCCGGTATCTGGATGCAAATCAATGTTCCACCTTCTGTTACATTGAGAATATCGAAATGAATTTCCACACATTAATTTTACTTTTCAGTGCAGTCGTCTTTGCTCGTGCCAAATTACGTAAGATTATTTATATTTTTAATCATACTTTTAAAATATATTGATTTTGTTTTTTTTTTCCTGCAGCATCTTACATTACAAAATGTTCGATAAGCGATCCCAAACTTGGCGATTGCATTAAGCAACAAATGATCAATACTTTACCAAAAGTTATACATGGTGACAAGAATATGCGTATTCCGAACTTAGATCCATTCCATTTGACCGAAATTGAAATTGAGGCGACAGAAACTCTAACTCTTAAATTATTAGATATTGATATAAAAGGACTGGATAAAGTTAAACTGGGAAATTTTCAGTAAGCTACAAAAACATATTTGAATAAGCACCAAATTTATGTTTAGTTCTATTTAAGTGTCGATGGTAAAAAAATGACATCTAAAGTTGAATTAACTTTTGATGAAATTGATATTACTGCTACTTATGATATCAAGGGTCAACTCTTGATTTTGCCAATTCAGGGACACGGACCAGCTAAAATTACTATGAGTATGGATGCAATATTTGTATGAAATAATTTATTAAATGTATATTTTTTAGAAAATGCGAAATTCACATTCGAATTCGATTGGGATGTAAAACCAAATGACAAAGGTGTGGATTACGTAGTTTTGGGAGATTCCAATCTTCATTATACTACCGAAAAAAGTCATTACCATTTCGACAATTTGTTCAATGGGGATAAAGCTTTAGGCAAGTAAAAAATATTGATTTAATTTTATAATAAATTTGATATTTTTTTTGTAGGTGATCAAATGAATGCGTTTATAGAAGAAAACTCCGAAGAAGTATCAAAGGATATCGAACCTTCAGTATCAGAAACTATTAAGTTAGTTGTCATGGGAATTTTCCAAAGTGTTTGCAGTTCCATGCCCTTTAGTGACATTCTTGACCCATAACAAAATATTTTGACCTTAAGATTATGTATACTTAAAAATAATACTTACTTATGATTTAAAATATTAATAATACATATTCATTTGTTTGTTATATTATTTATTAAATTATTTTTATTTGCCTATTTTGGGCCAAAGGGTTTTTCTTATATTTTGATCTTTTAAAATAAATATCTTATGCAGAAAGCATTTTTTCTTATTTTTTAAATATTTACATGTATACCTTTATTTATACCTTTATAATTCTTATTATATTATCTTTGCATTCACCTGTCTTTAGACCAGAGGAGGATCTAGGCATGGTCTTCATTCAAATTAGGACTCGCTCATCACCGCGGCCCCATCATTTATATATCCACAAAATTATATTGATATTGTTGTTGTTCCGTTATAATTCTTAGGAAATTTGAATTGCATTATTGTTGTTGCTTGTTTTTGTAATATTATCTTTGCATTCACCTGTCTTTGGACCAGAGGTGGATCTAGGAATTTCCGGAAAATCGCTAATTGCTGAGCTCATTAGAAAATCAATGTCCTTTACTTCACTCGTTAAAAATAACTTAAGTAAATGTTTTGCTTTTAGAGAGTGTGACAGAAAAAGCGCTTAAAAAATGTTTTGCATTCCGTACATTTTGTTACTACTACCGGCGCACACGTCCATTTGGCTATTAGTCGCATAATTCTACATATTTAATATACAACGATAAGTTTTAGCTACCTTTTAGTGTACCTGCTAGTGTACAGTGGGCAAAAATGAGTTAAGCTAACAGATATTATTTATCAAAATAAAATACAGCTATACCTAGCATGGTACGAGAAATTGAAACCGCCAATATGCCATCTTTGAAATCGGACTAATCGAGGACTTAAAATAAAAGAAAAAAAAATGTTTATTTGTGTATTTTTGAATTTTCCAAACAGTATTGGTTTCGCCAATATCCCGCTTGAAATTGGCAAGTATGATTTTATTAATACATGAAATGATTACTCGTTATATTCTTTTGCAATGGCCTAAGATTTTGTATGACAGATTGACTCACACATTTTTCAGTATAGATATGTTATCTATAGCGACAAATGTGAAGCATTTAATCTAAACCTATTTTGTTATTTACATTTTTACCATATTATTAACTTCTGACAAGAAAGAGTCAAATCCAACTCTTACACCAGTTTAAAACATTATAGTTTTATTTGTATTTTTTATGATTGAGAGCTATACCTATGTTTCAAAGACCCGTAAATGGCTTGCCAGCCGTCGTTTGCCTAGAACAACTAAATATATCTTATTTTGAAAAAAAAAGTAAATATTTCTAAATAATCTATTTTTTCCGTAAAAGTTTATCTTATATTTAACTAATTCAAATAATATTGAATTTAAAAAATGTAAATAAAAAATGTTGAATCTACAAAGCTTTTATTTTCTAAATATAACAGTCGATGATAAACGATTGTTTTGATCGACCAACCCTAGTTCGGACTGCGGAAAATGAAGACTTTCGCTAAAGATTTTTATGTCCGGACAACATATTACACAGTTGGAGGCAGGAAAATGGAATAGCTCAGATTAGAGAGCCTGAACCCGACGTGCAATCCCTGAAATGGGACCCTGGATTTCTAGAAAGCACGGTGAAACAACTTTCCACATGAACATGAGGAAGGAGGATGAAAAGTGCTGGTACTGAGAAGAAGATGAGAGCCTATATCGCACGTTCTTTAGACGAAGTTTGAAGATTATATTGCATAAACTGATATTATTCCCATTAATAAATAATATATAATTATATTTTCATCTAGAATGTGTTATTAGTAACAATAAATACATTTATATAAATAAAATTAATTGCTTCAAACAATAATTCTCTTTAATTTAAAATTATAATAAATCATATTGCATAAAAAAAGGAATTAAATATTCGGAATTTTATATTTGTCGGGAAATTGTGCAGCGCAATAAAAATATTAATGATTGTTTACAAAATTCCATATCATTTCGATAATTATTCTAATTTGAATGTTCGGAATATAAAACGACCGGTATCTGGATGCAAATCAATGTTCCACCTTCTGTTACATTAAGAACATCGAAATGAATTTCCACACATTAATTTTACTTTTGAGTGCAGTCGTCTTTGCTCGTGCTAAATTACGTAAGATTATTTATATTTTTAATCATACTTTTAAAATATCCTTCGATATCCTTCCTTTTTTTTTTGCAGCATCTTACATTACAAAATGTTCGATAAGCGATCCCAAACTTGGCGATTGCATTAAAAATCAAGTGATAACTACAATACCAAAAGTTATAAATGGTGACAAGAATATGCGTATCCCGAACTTAGATCCATTCCATTTGACCGAAATTGAAATTGAAGCAACAGAAACTCTTACTCTTAAATTATTAGATATTGATATAAAAGGACTGGATAAAGTTAAACTAGGAAATTTTCAGTAAGCTACAAAAACATGTTTGAATAAGCAACAAATTTATGTTTAGTTCTATTTAAGTGTCGATGGTAAAAAAATGACAACTAACGTTGAATTAATTTTTGATGAAATTGATATTACTGGGACTTATGATATCAAGGGTCAGCTTTTGATTTTGCCAATTCAGGGACACGGGCCAGCTAAAATTACTATGAGTATGGATGCAATATTTCTATGAAATAATTTATTAAATGTATATTTTTTAGAAAATGCGAAATTCACCTTCGAATTCGATTGGGATGTAAAACCAAATGACAAAGGTGTGGATTACATAGTTTTGGGAGAATCTAATCTTCATTATACTACCGAAAGAAGTCATTACCATTTCGACAATTTGTTCAATGGGGATAAAGCTTTAGGCAAGTAAAAAATATTGATTTAATTTTATAAAAAAATGACTTTTTTTGTAGGTGATCAAATGAATGCGTTCATAGAAGAAAACTCGGAAGAAGTATCGAAGGATATCGAACCTTCAGTATCAGAAACTATTAAGTTAGTTGTCATGGGAATTTTCCAAAGTGTTAGCAGTTCCATGCCTTTTAGTGACATTTTTGACCCATAACAAAATATTTTGACCTTAACATTATGTATACTTAAAAATAATATTTACTTATGATTTAAAATATTAATAATAGATATTCATAATTTGTTTGTTATATTATTTATTTAATTATTTTTATTTGCTTATTTAGGACCAAAGGGTTTTTCTTATATTTTGATGTTTTAAAATAAATATCTCATGCAGAAAGCATTTTTTCTTATTTTTTTTTTAATATTTACATATATACGTTTATTTACTTTGTAATATTTTACATATTGTTGTTCCGTTATAATTCTTAGGAAATTTGAATTGCATTATTGTTGTTGTAATATTATCTTCGTATTCACCTGCCTTTGGACCAGAGGAGGTTCTAGGCACGGTCTTCATTCAAATTAGGACTCACTCATCACCGCGGCCCCATCATTTAAATATCCACGAAATTATCTTTGAAATAAAGTTCAAGAATATATATTTTCATGTTACGTTGCTATGATGCTAGCACTATGATGCTGTGATGCTTTCCTCATTCGTCATCTACTTAACTGGTGCCTATGACCTTTGGACAAATAAATGACATGGGCAAGTGGTAAGATCGCGGTTGACATTACGTAGGTAATATTTCCCGGTGGATAGTTACCATTATGATGATTTTTTTTATTTTAATTTGTAGATGGGCTGTCGTCTTGTAGGTGCAAATCAATATTTACATTAATTTAATTAAAAGTAGTTAAAAATGCAGTTGATGAAATGTAATATAATATAAATAAATCAGTTAGTCGTGAGCGTGATTGACAATAAAATAGGTAATATTTTATGAAAATAAAATCCCAGACGACATATTAATGTAGTTGATAAAATTTATTTAGTATAAAAAAATCCATTAATATTAACATACCTGTATCCTGATGCATTATAATAAATTCTCAGTATTATTTTTTTTTCAATAAAAGTTATAAAAATAAACAAATTCAATATTTAATCATAATATAATACAGGTAGCCTTCACGGTATACCATAATACGTCTATTTTATATTTTATCTTATACATTAAAACATTCGATATAGTCACCTTGGCTCAGAACAAAATTTAAAAAAAAGATTACGTTTATAAAATGTTGATTATATCAAGAAAAAAAAATGAATGTCAAATATTTGTAATGAAATAGGAGTTTTTATCAAAAGATCATATTTTATAAAAATTTTATTAAAACTTTTTAAGAATTGCTTTTTCTCGATTTTTTCTCAAGAGAAGAATATCATTTATGAAAGATACGAGAGCAGTCCCAGAAATACGGTGACCTCACGCTTTTAGTGAATTTGTAAACATGAAAAAAAAAATGGTGATTATTATATGATATAATACACTTATTTAAAAGGTTTCAGTTCAACTAATATCAAGCCGAGCTAGATTCTACTCTAGGGAGTCTGCTTCTTCGTATACAACAAAACAATATTGAGTGGCAGAGTTTAAACGGGGTCAGAAATGGTGAAGAAAATCCACAAAATAGTATTGGATGACCGTCAACTGAAAGTGCGCAAGCTATCAGAGATAATAAGCATTTCAAAAAGTGCTGTACATCGCATATTGACTGAAAATTAGAAGATGAGTGCAAAATTGGTGCGACGTTTTGTATTTTGTAGAGCTCGACGGTTCTCACAATGTACAGGGTATCAAAGCTATTCAACATGGCTGAGAAAAGTGTCTATCGAAAGTTCAGTGTACTTCTTTTTCTATTATTTGTAATTGAATAATTAGTTATTTTTTTACATATTAACTCTAGAATCTTAAACAAACTATTAATCTAACACTTTATTAATTGTTATAAAAAAAAGTAAAATTACATTGCCATTATTTTGCAATATATTCTTTTCCATATAATTTAGAACAAAAATGCTTTATAACACCAAGAAATTATATTAATTGTTCTATTTTAAGAGGAGATGAATCTGCAAAAATTTATAAAATATAACACTTATTAATAGTTTTTTTTTAAGTCGTGTAATTTTATTTACAATCTGTTCATCAATGTGAACAATGTGAAATTTAAGATCGCGGTTGATGATGATTGTTTAATTTGTAGGTTGGCTGTTGTCTTTTAGGTTAATTTCAGTAGTATATTGATGCTCTGCGATTTCATTATTTCCTTTGATTGTGAATCTGCTGCTATCTTTAACTGAACCTTATTCATTTCACAGTCCATCTGTAATGAACGATAGCTCTATTGCTGCAAGCACCAAGGGGGCTCACAAAGGGCCTGACTTGACCAGGATTTGAGCCTGTGATCACTGGCACGTGGGTAGGGCGACTTAACCATTCGGCTATTAGTTGCCCAATTAATAAATATTAATAAAAACTTAAAGTTCTTCAAAAAAAAAAGAATACTATATAAACTGATACGAAAATAGACAAAAATAAGTTACATCACACATGTTTCAATCTTGTTTATCGTAACTTTTGCGGCATTTGGTGCTAAATTACGTAATATCCAAGTGAATTTTATTTTTATATTATTTAATTACACATTTAATTTCAGCAAGTTTCATAACCATTTGCAACAATAATGATCCGAATTTTGGACAATGTGCCATGGATTTGACTCACAACATTTTACCCAAACTGTTGAATGGTATTTCCTTCTCTTAATCCTTTCTGAGTACAGACGAAAGGCATCAAAAGAACAATTTCTTGAAAAATTTCTTACAAGAGTTGTCGGTGGGTTGTCGAGCCTGCAGTTTCAAATACTATTACTGCTATTTTAATGTCTACTTTCTCCAAATTTGCTGAACAATTCCCTTATACTGAGTTATTTGGTTAATAAAATGTATAGAAATATTTTGCTTTAATTATTTTAAATTATTTATAAATATACGCTATATGCAACTAAATATACAAATCGATTGTTTTTACTAAATCAGCTTTAATCAGCGTCTCTATGCAATGCTCGCACATCTCGACCATGTAGAAACTACAACTTAACAGGGACCAAGTGTATATAAAAATTGTACGTGTACAATAGGAAAATGAACAGACTGGTGAAATAGTCTCCACAGACATTAAACGTTTGGTAGCAAGAAGGAATAAGAATATTAGTCATTTAACCTGTCCATCCCCACCCAAGGAGAAAAAGAAGAAGTTTTAATTTAGACATAAGATTCTAAATATGAAATGGTGTTATAATTATTTTTACATTCGATCTTTCATAAACATGCAACATAATACAGCGAAAATTGTAAGGTCAGAAGATAATAAAAACATAAAATATGTATACTGCAATAGATACATATTTTATGTTTTTATTAGCCGGATAAAGGGAAAAATAATTTTAAAAAAATCACAATATATTTTTTATATATAACTGTTGTTCATGTAATACTAACATATATACAGCCAAATATGAAAAACTAATTGCAAGTGTACTATTCGATACGAATCATATATATGTATTGCATACTTATGGCCATTGAATGGAGAAGAAGAAAAAGAAGATACAGTTCCTGTCGAACAACGTTGAGTCGATATTGTTGGGCACATATCCGGGACTGACATCTAGCAATATAATAAGTTACATCCCAGTATAGTTTTGTTCCTACATATTTCCTGCGAGCGGTCTATAAGTGTATTGCACCACCGCAATACACCCTCCAGGGATAAATTTACAACCCCAGTATGAGGAAAAATTCAGTAGAATATATTTTTAAAATCAACTTTTCCCATCAACCTACAACTAAAGACATAGATTTCTTCGCACCTAGTAAACTGCAAAGAAATTGTTCGCAGCACAAAGGAAGACTTTCAGAGACACAACTCTTGGAGATGATCAAATGCACTGACTGCATAAGAATTGCATAGATTGAAATAATATTCATAATGAACTTCAAGTTTTTCTTAATGATATATTTGCTCTGAGAAAGTGTTTACATGACTGGAAATAGCTCTGTAAATTGGCATACATAGCAGATATATGTTTGTTTCAAATTGTCTTCTTATCTTTACAAGGCAAATAAATTTCATTGTTTCACGTTCATTATAAAGTGAACGCTACCATGAAAAAATTAAATTTGTTGCAAAAGTTTTGAAAATAATATAGCAGGCGCACAATCCTTTTCTCCAATTATTTTCTCCACGTCACTCGTTATGCGAAAAGTCGCTCGTTAAGCGAGTCATTTATCTTACAATTAATTTTGTTCGTTAAAAAAAATAGTTGTTAAGCGAGGATCCACTCTATAATTGAATCAATAATTTTAATTAAGTGGAAATATTAATGGAACGACAATATAGATCTTTCAAACTATAGGAATTCAACAGGATAATATCTTTCACATGGCAAAAGAAGTAATTTCCACTACAGAAACGTATTGCGCGATAATAAATAAACCACGCGACAGAAAAATATATTTAATAATTACAAAAGGGGGTCGCGGACAAATAAGTTTGAGAAACACTGCCCTAAACAACAGTTAAACCGTCGTCGTTCCCCGCATTGCGAAGTTCCGCGGTATTGTAGTTTTCCGCTGGAGAAACGTATATTGAACGATAATTAATCTTAGCCATGACAGAATGTTAATTGACGTCACTGTCTGTACACACACGCGAGAACTGCAAACCAATTCCCAGTCATACTTGCGTAACTTATTTAGAATAATATCTTAGTAATGCTTATAATACAAAAATACATAAGTAGCTGGTCATATTAAAGCGTATGAAGGGACCAGAAACCAACAAAATGATATAATATACTAACGTCATACTTTGGCCAATCAAAAACATTTCACAATAGAAACATGTTTACATAAATATATATTTCAAGCTGTAAAAAGACACACAACATACACAATACACAACCGCAAATTTTATATTTTTTTATATTCCTAAAATGCTGAATATTTTTGTAGATAACGAAAATAAGGAAGTTGGTAACCCAGAATATAAAATAAAACGATAACAAAACCATGTTTGAATAAAAACTGAAGAATTTGACTCCGCAGAAGAGGCATAAAAATCTGTAATACTGCAAGAGGTATGGTTTTGTATTTCGATAAAAGTAATACAATGTTACCAAAAATACTTTAAGAAACATTTTTATATTTTATATATAATATTTGGTGAAATATTAAAAAATAATGGTAAATAGTGGTAAAGTGTAGTGTACAGTTGTAGTTACACTTTAGTGTAAAGTTTATTGACTTTAACTATATTATTTGTGTCCTAGTGTAGAGGAAGTAGAAGACACAACGAAAATTTCATTATGAAAATATTACAAAAAAAGAATAATTTTTCATATTGCATTTGCGTTAATTCAGAAGTAACCTATGTTAAATATTTTGTAAATAACTACGATAAGAAAGCGTATGACACAAATCCTAAAATAAAACTATTTTCAGATAAAAATCGAAGAATTGGACTCCTCAGAAGAGGCGGAGAAATCCGTGATATTAAAAAAGGATCTTGATTTTTTCTAAAAAGCAAAACAATGTTCGAAAGACTGCAAATATATTTTAATAAATATTTTTACATTTATATTATGCAATTAAAAAAAAATAGGCCATTGATGCAATGGTTTCAGAATAAAACTATGTTAAAGACAATGAAAATAACTAGGAGTTTTGGGTCATATATTTCTTATATAACCCAAAACCTAAAAGAAAAAGACAACAAGCAGAAACGGCAGAGAAATTCGTGAAAATGGTATGTAGAATACCGGTGACTATGATCATTATAGTACATTGCTGAATATATAAATGAAAAAGTTTATTAATGAAAAAATTGAAGAATGTTTTCGAACGACAAATGCTATTTTAGCTCTAATTAGAAGACACAATATGAGCGAACCTACAAAATCAAAGTATTTAAATACATTAATATGTGGAAACAACACAACACAACATAAATACTATTAGAAATTTAAAAAATACGATATGGTGCAAATTGATGCTACATACAACATTATTTGGCAAGGATATCGTTTAATAATCGCAGGTACCAGTGATAAAAATCCATTTTTAATCCATTTGCAATTGCTATATGTAAAGGCGATAGTGTCAGTGATTTTGCCTTTATATTTGAAGCTTTAACTAGAGATTTTATAGATATTTTTGGAGAGCCAAAGGTGCGCATAACGTGCTTCTCTTATGTTCTAAAAAATCTTGAAAAATTATTTAAAAAAATAAAAAAATAATGCTTTGCACACATGTAAGAACAATCCAACATTTTTGATAACAGTAAACTTGTTTTTAGAAAAATGGAATATAATAGACAATCAGGAGATTAAAGAGTTTTTATATTATTTCAAATCACATTGGTTGTTAAAAAAATAAAACTGGTTTGAAGGAGTCGCTGTCGGTTATCCTAGCACGAATAATGGCCTCGAAGAAATAAACTCCTTAATAAGAAGCAAATATATACTAAGGGAAAGACTTCCAGTTGGTCAATTTTTAACTAATATTTTTTATTTAATAACCAAATGGTTTAAAAATAGAAATCCTGAACTACTAGGTTTTAAAGAATTTCATACATTTCCATCAATATCGTTGCAATGGGCTATGTCATACAAAAAAGTGCTTAAAGAGAACCATAAAGAAAACTCTAAATTGTTTTATACATGTTCAAATTCTACCAATCAATCAATTACTAATGAAATACTTTCTACATACAAGGCAAAGGATGGAGAATGGAAGATTTTTGAAGATTTTAAAAAGTATAATTGTAGTGTTTGGATTATAATATTAAATTTTAAAGATCTAAACCTATCAAAATGCACATGTCTGTATTTTTTTAAACATTTAAACTGTAAGCATGTTTTGGGCATGAAAATACGGTTAAAATTAATTACTGAACTAAATGAAGCAAAGTTAATAACAGTCACGCAAAATCGTAAGATAAAATAGGAGATAAAATTCAAACATCAGAGCAGTCATTTGAAATGTGAATAATAAATATAAGAATAATGAAAAATTCTAGATTATGTCATAAAATCATATTTTCTCAACAAAAATTGTTCTGTGTTTATCAACACAGAACAATCATTGTATTACTATCCTCCGCTGTTTGAATATATATATGATGTATAGCAAATAAAAACAACTATTTTAATTAAGAATACTTAAGAAATATATGACACATTAAAAATGTTTGTAATTATTAAACGTGACTCAACTATTTTAGAATATATAAATATATGAAAATTTAAAAATCAAATTAGTTTTCCAGTAAAATTCATACAAATGATACTATGATTTTTTTAAAACCTATTTCAATTTTGCTCATCATTACGTCTCTCGCTAATGCTGCCAAGTTACGTAAAAATCAAAAGAATTAAACATTTTCGAATTATCAAATTACAAAATTGTTTTGAGCAAGCTTTGTTATCTAAATGTTCCAAGAATAATCCGAATTTTGGAAAATGTGCCATCGATTTGACACGAGAACTTGTACCCAAATTGAAGGATGGTATTTATTTCAAGAATTGGATTCAAACAAAAGCATTCACTAAATTCTTTCAGGCTACAAAGAGCTGAATTTTTCATCTTTCAACCCTTTTCACGTGCAGGAATTGGCATCGAGGCAACCGATTCCTTAACATTAAAACTAACTAACATAGATATTATTGGATTGGTTACAGCAAACTTCAAAACTATTAAATAAGTCTTAGATTGTCGGTAGCTGAGGAAATAGTGCTTGACACAAGCTAAGTGCAGAGAGTGGAGGTTTAAAAGAAGAAGTCTTAGATTATTTCAATGAATTTAACACATTTATTTTGTTTTCTTCAAAAGCTGTGACTTTAGTGCTATGGTATGCATTACGAATATTTATTTCTCCGAATTGGAACTTAAAGGAACTTATGATATTGATGGTCAAATATTGATCTTACCGATTAAAGGTCATGGAGCAACTAATATCAAACTTGGTATGTATTTATTTTTTTTAGAATATTATATATATGTTATTTATTTAGTTGGAGGTGATTTCGATTTGACGTTAAAATGGTCTGTACATGCAAAGAATGGTGTGAATTATGCCAAAATTGAAGACATAGAATTGCATTTCAAAAACGACAAAACAATCTTTCATTTTGACAATTTATTCAATGGCGATAAATAATTAGGTTCAAATTGTTATTTTATTAATAATTTATTAATTGTAATCAAATAATGAATTTTACTTGATTAAATGAACAAATTCTTAAATGAAAATTCGCAAGAGTTGTCGGAGAACGTTGAGCCTGCAGTTTCAAATACTATTGCAGTCATCTTAAAGAGTACTTTTGCGAAATTTTCAGAACAAATTCCATATAATGAATTATTTGGTTAATCTAATAATATTATTAGATATTTGGCCTCAGGCGCAACACTTCCTTGATGCAAACCCGGACAAGCGTAGCACTATTTTTTATTATTTATGTAATTATATAATAATATAAATTTGATTTTATAGCTTTTATCATTGCCATTTTATTTACTTCTAAATTTTACTTTAAATAGTCACCATTTTGCTTTTCACAATGGCGATATAATTCTAATGGGATTCTACTTAACGTATTTTTTTTATGTTTAATACCTTCTTGCATATTGGCCTTCAATTGCTAAATGTTCCGAGGATATTTATAAAACCTTTTATAATTACCTTAAGTGTTCTATTATTGGACAGTACTGCTCGCTATTTACAGTGTATCGTCCATTTCTCACCTAGGCCGTACAAGATCGTTGACTCCAAAAGAGCTCCTATATAGAGAGAGAGGAGTGAGCAACTAAACTGCTGGGCGAAACAATGGAATAGCTCAGAGAAGGAAGCCTGGACTAGACGCTTCCCAGAAATAGGACCCTGGATATCCGGAAAGTACGGCGAGACAACATAGAATATTAAAATAATAATAATAAATTGTAATTATTATGTACAAAAAAATATAAAATAAAAATACTACAAAGTAATATACAATTAAATATAAATATTTGGTAATAATAAGAACAATCATTTAATGACCAAAATGTAACGAGAATAAAATTATTTTAATCTTGTAATTTATTAAAATATTTGTCGGAGTACGTAAACAACAGCACCTGACTAAACATCATGGCACAAGGAACCATTGTTTCCCTGCTGGAGCTACCATTGTCAGCACCATGATCACATCACATCTTTAGAGACTTCATGGAAGAAGGGTATTCCCCAGACAAGGGGGAGTGGAACACATCGGGAGAATGATCAGCGAGGATTCGGGATTCAGACTTGGGAACTGGAAGGTTACAGTTGCTGTGAACGGACCATGTCTTGGATCACTACCCCTGAGATTGCTGGAGGATATTCTGTGTTTTACTGAGTTTATTGGAATATTGTTGATGGTTGATTGTAACAATGACTTCGCCGCTCTCGAGACTAAACATGGCGATTCGACATATTTAATTATAGGCTGTAGCTATTTAATTTATGTTAAAATTATAAATACATTATTTCGCATTGACAAAACAAAATTGATTACATTTTCATATTATGCATTAGAAGAAATAATGTCAATGATCACATTCATTTGAATGAACGACAGGTTTTCAATCAACTATATTTCTTATTTAATTCAAAATTTTCATTATTGGGAATATTGGAATTGACTAGTCCATTTGTTTACAAAATGTCATTACATTTTTTATAAAATTTAAATTAATATCTCGGACTATTTAAAACCGGACTAATCGAGTAACCAAACATAAAAAATAAACCTGGACAAAAAGAGATTTCACAGTAAAAATCATATTATTTATATATAAATCATTTTGTGTACTAATTTTTGAGAATTTATTTTTCTTTTGCTCAATTAAAATTTAGTTTGGAAATTTCAAACCAGACTATAATGAATCCGGAGTGATCGAAACCGAACTATCCAAGTTCTTATTTAACATCAGTAATTAAGTTGAAATTTTTGATAAATATTCTTTATCAGATCATTTGTTTTTTGTATTAATTTAAAATTAAGATATCGATATTGCATGTAAAAGAAAACACGTTATATTTTCAGTTCTTTATTTCCCTTTCATAATAACACTCAATAAGTTCATAGGATGACATAGAGATGTCGCCTATATCGACAAATTAATCATTAATTTTTTAAACTAAGAAATTGTTGTGTTCCGGGATTAAGAAATCCTTGGACACCGTGGATTATCTCGTAGTTATGTCGTTGCTGAGTATTAGAGGGCTTTATTAAGTGCAATATTCTTAATTAACTTTATTATACACATCGGAATTTTATTAAGAAGTCAACTATATAATAGTTGATCTCAGGGATTATTACTAAGAGTTACATTCTCCTTAAGTTAGTATTTATGAAGTAAATGCTCTTCCTTGAACTCTCCAAGTAAGGCCAATTTCTTATAATACCAAAATGTGTTCATTTCAAAAAGGGGCTGTGTGGGATGTAAGGAAATCAGTTTTGAGGTTGTTGAATATACAACTATTTCTTTATCTAAATTTTATGACCCCACCCAAATATTTAGAGGCTGTTGAGAGGTGATAAAATAAACTATGCGATTTAATGCGTAACCGTCCTTCGGAATATTCCACAAGTTATTCTAAATAATTACGTACAAGAATCCCTTCGTATATTTGATGGATACTTGAAATATGCTTTGTAATAATTATTAGGAAAGTGGTAGACCTAACGAATAAACATATTAGTTAGTTGATAATAAAATGGTCGGCCACGACAAAATTTCCTTCCCGGTTTATTTATTTCCAAAATTGTAGCTACGTCTATAAATTATTTCCTTTTTTTTAGTATTTTTTAATATATTATTATTGCTTATTAACTTATAATAATATTTATCAATTTTATATTTTTTATGTCGCAATTTTCAAATCAAATAATACTGTGTGATTAAATATAAAAACAAGTATTTCATAAACTTTGTACGTATTTTAAAAATAATTTACGGTGTGCAATATCAGACAAAAATATACGTAATTAAACAGAATGTAATTAAAAGTTAAAAACTATATAAACTCAAATTAAAATTATGGATGATTGTATTTCAATTGCATCCAAAGAAAGCAGAATGAATAGTATAACATTTGGTTTCATTTTGCTCATTGTAACATTTGCGGCACATGCTGCCAAATTACGTAATATCCAATCCCATTAAAACATTAGTAATTATTTAATTTCATCGTAATTTCAGCAAGTTTCATAACGAAATGCGACAAAAATAGTCCAAGTTTTGGTAAATGTGCCGTGGATTTGGCTCATGCTATCATTCCCACATTGCAGAATGGTTAGATACTAATTTAATGGTAGTTAATTAAATATAACGGATAAGCTTGTTTCAGGTTATAAAGAGTTAAATTTTCCACCTTTCGCACCTTTCCACGTTCAAGAAATTGAAATCGAAGCAACCGATTCGTTAAATATAAAGCTTACAGATTTGGACATTTTTGGACTGGAGAAAGCAAAGTTCAACTTGATTGAGTAAGATGTTCCTATAATTTATACCTTAATTTACTATCGTTTTTCCTTTCTATTAAAGTTGCAACTTTGACACACTGGAATGCTTGATAAAAATCAATTTTCCGGAGCTGATAGTAAAAGGCACATATGACATTGATGGTAGAGTAATGATATTGCCAATTAAAGGACATGGCCCAACAAGCATTAAACTGGGTATGTATTTTCGAAATGTCTCTTTCCTTTTTATATTGATTGTATTTTAGTTGGTGCTAATTTTGTTCTTTCAATGAAATGGTCTTTAATAAAAAAAGGGGGCGTAGATAATTCTCCTATTATTGATAAATTTGAGTTGCACTATCAAACTGAAAGAAGCTTTTATCACTTTGACAATTTATTCAATGGTGATAAAGTGTTGGGTAAGAAGCAACTTTATATACTTTATATAC